AAGTAGTATCAGAATATAAAATTTCATAACTCCTTTTTCCCTTTTCTCCGGCGTTTCCCAGGACCCAAAATAGCCTTGTGGTGCATTTGGCATGCAAAGAATGACAGAGAAATGATAAAAGAATCTAATGAATGCAAATGTTATTTTTGTTAATTTAAATTTTTGTCTTTACCTTAAAGTAAGAAGAAAATCTGTTTCGACTATAGTATCGCTTAAACTTACATTTGTGTATTTATATATTATTATTTACAGAGTATTAAATAGAACTAGTTTGAACCATTTGTTAAAACTTCTCCCAAATCTCCTCCATATTTTCTATATCTAGCAATCTAGCATTCCGGGTTCCAAATGGACCCTAGGAGTTTTGGAGTATGGTTTGAAGGGAGAACCCTTCTCGAGTTAACTTATTAATGTTTTTCACCAATATGACAGGCTTCATACATCTCTAAAGTCTACAGTTAAGTGTTTGTGCTTTCACTTCTTCCTTTTGTGTGTTTTTTTCCTCAGGTACTCTACAGATTATGGCATGTTCCGGTTTTGCATTGCTGACACCGAACATGACTGGAGAGAGGGAACAGAGCAGCATAATTTCATTGAGCACTGCCTTGCATCTGTTGACCGACAGAAACAACCGTGGCTCATTTTCCTTGCCCACCGGGTACTTGGTTACTCTTCTGGTGAGTCCTATGCCATTGAAGGATCATTTGGAGAGCCAATGGGAAGGGAAAGCCTTCAAAAGCTTTGGCAGAAGTATAGAGTAGATATTGCCATGTACGGTCACGTCCATAACTATGAAAGGACATGTCCTATTTACCAGGTAACCCGGGATGATTTGTTGAATATATTATTGTCAAATGTGAAAACTGTTGAGTCATCCTACGTTGGAATACTTTAAAACACACACATATATAAGACTGAAGATGGCTCCTTAAAGATGTAACGTCAAGCTTTAATATGGTTGCACTTGCAAGTCAGAAACTGATGGTTTGTGTTGAAATTATTGCTCCTAACCCATAGGAGTTTAGGCTAGGGCTTTTCACCCTAAGGAGTCATCAAGTAGACTTAGTTTTCTGGGCCTAGCCATTAGGGTAAAAAGCCCTGGCCTAAACTCCTATAAATAGGAATTTAAGTAGAGCGGTCCTATTTAGGGAGAAAAGCCCTAGCCCAAGCTGATACTCCCATTAGGGTGATCTCTCTCTATTCCTCCCTATAGAAACCTAAAAAGCTTGTAGAGTTTATAAGTTTGTGAATGTCTTTCCAGAGCCTTTTTACGTGTAGATATTATTAGATCACTAAAATGGACCTTTGACTTGAATTAACCCTGAAAAGTCCCACGGTTCTCTCATGTAGGTTTTTATATAAAAAGCATGTGTTCATATACTCCCTCCGTCCCAGGGAGAAGTTCCCGGGTTGACTTTCACACATATTTAGGAAATAAAGTTACTGAGGGGTAAATTTTACTGTTTGGCACTGTTTCGACACTGTTTGGCACTGTTTCGACACTGTTTGACACTGTTTTGCACTGTTTGACACTGTTTTGATGTAGGATAACTTTCCATTTAGGGAAATGGGAACTTTTTGTTGGGACTACTAAAAAAGGAAAGTGGGAACTTCTCCCTGGGACGGAGGGAGTATATGTTTTCCATTTTACATGCTTTCTTTACAAACAAGGGTGTTCCGGACCTTTAGCCCGATCCCGCGAACCTTGAAGTTAGCGACTTGGACATGGTAAATCTCTAGTGACCCTTCCGGGTATTCAAATTGCGACCACACAAAACCTTTTTGTTTAGGTTCAAACTATTTGAACAATCCGGAATGTTGTGTTCCATATGGTCTTGAGTTTATATCAATGAAATTGTATAAAATATCTCATGTTAGATTAGCTTCAACAATGGTGGACAACTTTTCTTGTTTCTCAGAGAAGCAATTTGATGATGTCAAGGGGTGTACCAATGTAGAACATATGCTTCAATATTTGTCTATCACCATCTTGCGGTAGATGTTATGCAATTGCTCGTTGGAAAATACAAAATGACAATAAGGTCTCAATGAATTGTAGCTCTATATTTATCAGTTATCACATTCAGATGAGACCAGTTTTGTTTCATCAACAGATAGGCACTCAACCAAATATGGAGTAACATTTATTCTTTTTTTTTTTTAACAAAGTAACATTTATTTTTATTTCCTTTTGGTTCAGAATATTTGTACAAGCAAAGAGAAACACTTCTATAGAGGCAGCTTGAACGGGACAATACATGTTGTTGCCGGGGGAGGAGGTGCAGGCCTCGCGGGTTTTGCCAACATATCAACTTCATGGAGTCTGTCCAAAGACCAAGACTACGGATTTGTCAAGTTAACAGCATTTGATCATTCAAACCTCCTGTTTGAGTACAAGAAGAGCAGGGATGGTAAAGTATATGACTCCTTCAGGATATCACGGGATTACAGAGACATTTTGTCTTGCACGGTGGATAGCTGCCCAAGCACGACACTTGCATTTTAATCCAATGTAATGAGGAAATACCCTCCTTCACCGCCAGTTTGGTTTTTCTCTTACACTGACTGCTTGACACAATACCTTTCCAATGACATGCATGAGCTGGCTATATGAACTGCTGTGTTGACAAAAATCAGAGCGAAAGATAGGATAAGTTATGGTTGGTAAAATCAGATCGTTTAAAATGCATTTTAATTGTATGGTTCCGGTAAGGTGAACTGCGGTTGCCTTGATCAGATTTAAACTGAAGTCTACTATTGAGTTAGGAATCTTCAAGTCAAAACTTTGATTGATATTTCCAATTTTGGAGTAATGGAGTACCAAATCTAAAGAAGATATCACTCCTTACTCGCGCTCCTGTTCTAATCACTAGTTATTTAGGTCCGGTTCTAACATTTTATAGACCTGAGATAATATAAAAAAGCAGGACTTGTGGTAATATATAAATGTATTAACACTATTTTTTGTTATGGTAACAAAGATTAAGCACATTTTTCAAAAAAAAATACAGTAACTAGATATCAAAGAAACTGAAAAAAAAAAACAAAGTACAGTAACTAGACATCAAAGATATAAAGTTGTAAAATAAACATTTACAATTATGCCGAGTGTTTGATAAATTACAGACAAAGATGTCACACTCTGAAATTGAATAGAGTACATTTATTGCTTGCAATTAGAAAATGCTAGGGATACACAAGTTGTACACAACTTGTACATACAATGTCGGTCACAGACAATTGGTACGGAGTTACCTGTGACCACAGACAAGAGTTGTCTGTGTACACAGACAAATTTTGTCTGTTTCCACAATCATTTACTTTTTTGTAAAAAGTACTTGTCAGTGTCAGACGGCTCTCAGTGTACTTTTTACAAAAAAGTAAATGTCTGTGGAAACAGACAAAATTTGTCTGCGTACATAGACAATTCTTGTCTGTGGTCACAGGCAACTCCGTACCAATTGTCTGTGACCGACATTGTGTGTACAAGTTGTGTACAACTTGTGTACCCCTAGCATTTTCCTAGAAAATTAGGATTTGGAAAAGATTCAAATAATATATCATATATCATATATGAAGTAAAATAAAAGAATTTGTATTTCTTTTAGTTCTGAATATATATCACCTTTGCCTTTCAACTAGGGGTGGACTCGGGCCCGGTTCGGGCCTGGGCCCGGCCGGTTCGCGGTTCAGAAATTATAGGCCCGAGCCCGAACCGCCGGTGGCCGATTCCGGTTCCGGGCCAAACCGGGCCGGGCCAACCGGCCCACATATTTTTTTTTTGGTTTTTGGTTCTCCTATTTAACCCCCTACCCCTCTCCCTCAACCCCAAACCATCCCAAACCACCTCAAATGGCCCAAAATACCTAATCCTTAAAAAAATTTCAAAAAAAAAAAAATTAAAATCCGGCCCGGACCGGGCCCGAACCGGCCGGGCCGGTTCACCAAAAGCTGGGCCCGAGCCCGGACCGCCTAGCACCCGGGCCGGGCCAAACCGAACCGGAGGACCCACCGGGCCACGGGCCGGGCCGGGCCAAACAGTGACCGGGCCGGGCCGGTCGGGCCGACCGGCCCGAGTCCACCCCTACTTTCAACCACACAATGACACAAGAGAGTTAAAAAAATTCAGTTTAGGCTCTTTTTAAATTAGAAGCAGAATCATAATCAGTTTTCAGAAGCCGGATTCCCTCAACTTATAAAAAAAACTGATTCTAGGAGTAAATTAGAGCCCCAAAATCGCTTCTGCACTTTCACCCAAACACTCCAATTTCTGCTTCTGCTCTTTGAAGGAGCAGAAGCAGTTTTAAGAATCAGATCCAAACACCCCTAATACTACTAGTGAATTATTGGTGTATTAGTGTATAAGGATACAAATTAACATTTATACGTGAGAGACTATTGGAGAATTGGAAAAAATGGTGTTATTTTTAGGTTGTGAGCTTTCAAGGAATAAATATTGTCGAAGTGTAGAACTATCCAAAACATCACAAGTCTAATTAATACCGTGTCTTTAATTATTATTCTAAATGTATATAAGTTGGAAAATTTATGGACCCCGATAAATCCATTACTTTGTATACATGTTTTGTGTGTAATAAGATTCACAGACAAAAAATAATTTTCTCATGAAGGAGAGTATAAGGTTGGTGAATATAAGCACATACAAGTAGCAAAACTGAAATTTTATGCACTACTTCTATACCCAATGGTCCTTATACACCCTTGTTGTAGTCATAGTTTAAACTTTGAATGTTTGTTACTCCTATTTTTTTGTTTGCTACACTTTCTTTTTTTTGGATGTATTCAAAAATTTGTTACGCTTTTCCTTTTTAGTAAGTTTTCTTTTAAAAATACTCAACCACCTTAATTTTTTCTACTTTTTATTTCTCTTTCGTATTTTTCCAACATCTCTCCTACTTTTTCTATACTATTCATTACCCCTACTATTTCACTCTTAAAAAGTGTGCCAACACCTATTGTAGCAAACAAAAAACTATAGAGGGAGTATTAGTTTGTTACAACAGTCTTCATACTTTCATAATGGATTGTTCTTCAATCTGCATAATGGTTTCTTAATTAATGCACGCCCGAAGCGCGTGATTGAAGATGTGCGTCATGGCGCCAAATAGAACACACCCTTAAAACACTCTTTGCCTTCCAATCTGTATCTTCCCGCGATTTCAATTTGTTTTAATTTTTTCCCAGGAAATCCTCATTCTCTTTTCTCCTTTCGATCAACCGTACGTCGAATTCGACATTTCCTTCGTTTTCTCTCAATCCCCAGACGCCGGAAAACCATACGAGAGTAACAATTATGTAACTCTAACCGCATCCGTCTTTACGGCAATTAAATTGTGGCATTTGGGCAATTGAGAAAAACTTTATGCTAATTCCAAGGTACTTTCATCTTTCTTAAAAAGATTCCTTTTTTCTGATAAACATTTCAAGCTTTATTTTTGTTTAAATTTGCAACAGAATCCCTATATCATCGTTTTTCCTTATTTCTTTTGGACATTTTTGTTGGAAATACGTTGATATAGGTTCTGCGAGGCAGACAATGGTTGCCGGAGCTGCTTCCGGCAAAACCAACCAAAGGCGATATCTTCTGAGTGCAGGGAATGGTGCAATCTAAATGGCTATCTAAAGGAGTAAGTTCCAAATTTCCCAGAAATTCACATTTCTAAAACAAGGGTCATTTTGTAATACTGATTTTAACATTACAAACGAGAGTTTTTTTGGGGGTGGGGATGATATTTATTCTATTTTGGATTATGCTTTTTCGTTTGTGAAGTTTGATTGTAATTAGGGTTAACTACTTAACCTTCCGGATATAATATTTAAATGAATATTAATGATTCATATCCACAAAGTTAGAAGCTAGACTAGACTAAAAAGATTTATTGAACCTCAAAAATAGAATTTGAATGTCTCAAAAATTTGATACATAAAAACTGAGATTGAAAGAGTGTTGGTCTATTGTGAAATAGTTTATGGAACTTCTAAAATGGAGAAAGGTATTATTCTATAGGTTCTAATCTTAAAATGTTTTGACTTTCTAGTTAAGACCAAATTGATAGTTCCAATTTATGTTGGTTGATGGGGAATGCTTTATTATAACTAAATTCAGGAGCAATAATTGATGGAAAAGATTGTCAAGTTTTTTTCAGAGTTCTATGCCAAAAAGTTTGAACAAGTAGACCTGCACTGAATTTCAGACACTTTTTTTATCCCTTCATGAGTAAATCTGATCATTTTAGTTTTCATAAATATAACAAGCAATTTTCATGTTGCAGTAACTCCTTTCTGTATTTATCAAACAGAAATGGACCATGGAGGTGAAGTTAATTCTTCAAAACCTCCCCTCTCACCACTACAATCGTCATTGTCATCGTCGTCGTCGTCAACATCAAGAAGTTCTCACGGTTTCTCTCAAACAAATCCAGAAGAAACACAGGCAACTTTTTCATTTGATAAAGCTCTGAATGACATCAATGAAAGGCATAGAAACTATTCCATACCGGGAAAAGCACTGTTTGCATCTTCAAATTCTACTTCAGAGGTTTCAGATGAATCTATACTGCAGAAATGGGCCCCAATGCAGTCTCCTCCAGTTCAGGTCATGGAAAATCCTGCAGATTTAAACGATTCCAATACAGTTTCTTTATCAAATTTAACAAGCGACCCCTCAACTCCAGACTCTTCTTTCTCATTTGAACCTTGGAGTGAATGTAAAAAATTGGATACATCTATCAGTTCTGCCTCAAAGGATTCAGAACATTCGGCAACCATGGAAAATCCAGCTGGAGGCTTTGATACCCATCATGGACCGCCCTCTTCAATTTTCAGGAGCAAGTCATCTACACCCACAGATTGGAGTACTGCTTCCAATGAATCATTGTTTAGTATCCAAATTGGGAACCATAGCTTTTCTGGAGATATATTTTTCAGGTCTGGGGAACTTGACACATATGGAGTAGAACATGTGAGATATGGGCATATGTGCCCCTTGACTTCAGTAGGTGGAGATGATAACAATGGTGGCCCACAAAAGGGTGTTCACAATGTAGTACCTCTAGGACCAGGTGCAAATGGTCATACTTCTAGCAGTTTTGTTGCTCATCCAGTGTGAGTGACATACCTTACCCTTCTTTGTTTGGCTTGTGTGAACTACTGTCTTTGAGTTAATCTTTGATTAAATATGACTGCACACATTTAGAGGGAAAGTTAGAAACACATATATAGTTGGTTATAACTCGTTTGGTAAGGTTGAAGTAATTCTGGATTAGCTAACATTACTGAAGCTGTGGCTCAATTATCTTAATAATTAGTAATTATTGTATCATAAATAGATATTTAAATAAATTAAAATAACTCATACTCTCTACATTCCGTAATTTACTTCCCACTTTTCATTTAGTGATCTCTCAAAATTTTCTTCGTATATCCTTTTAAGGGTAGATTTGTGTGGTCGGTATGGTTTCTCTCCTTTTTAGATCAAACACAATCATACAATTGTACTTTTTTAATAAATGTGCCAAGTCAAAGTAGGATAATATTTTGGAATCGGAGTACATGAGATATAGCCCAAGTAAACTTGTGCACAACTTTTTTCAGTTATTCAGCTAGAATATCTAAACAAGGTTTGGTTTTGGTAGAAAATACAAGCAGAAAAATCTATCTTGCCGAACATCCTTTACCTACTAGTAGGTAATCACTTAATGTGATTACCTACTAGTTTCCTCAAACATCCTTTTCTATGGGTAAGGAATGGAAACTCTATGTATTGCAGAGAAAAGAAGCCTGAACCAACAAGGTGCCAATACTGCTGTGCTGGTTGGACATGTGACCATTGCCACTGCTTAAGGAAAAGACATAGCACTATTTGCTCAGGCTGCTCATGTGCATGCTTAAGTTGTTGGCGTTGCTTTTGTAAACGGTTGAGCTGGTTATGTTTCCCATGTAAATGGTTGAGCCGATTATCTTTCTCTTGTAAATGGTTGAGCCGGTTATCTTTCTCTTGTCATTGTCTACGTTGCCACTGCTGTAAACTGCCAAGATGCCCACGCGACTGCGGCTGCGGATGGCCCTTCTCCGGCTGCCACTGCTGCTGTGGATGGCCCTTCTCAGCCTGCCACTGCTGCAAACTACCAAAGTGTCACTGCTGTTTAAGTTGCCACTGCTGTAAACAACCAAAGTCTTGTTGTTGCTGCAATGAATTGCCCTGCTTAAATTGTTACTGCTGCGAGTCAATCAAATGTTCTTGCCTCTCCTTGAAGTGCCCTATCTGGAGAAGCTGTCTTTGCCACGGCTCTCGCCTTCTCCATCTTTGATAATTGTGTGTCTCTCGCCTTCTCCTCATGGGCAGCTGTGGTGATGATCATGGTACTTTGAGAATCTCATGAAGCATTGTCTTATGTAGGTTTTCAGTGTGACAAAAGATGGGAGCTTGAAGAGGACTTCACTTTTCACTAACTTAGGGGGTTTTCTTGTCATTCTTATATACATAATAATTACATAGGAGTATATATGTAATATTTTCCAAAGAGGAGTTTGCTTAGAGTTGTTCACTTTATTTTGGCAACTATTTTGTAATTAAACATTTACATTTTCATTTTGCCCTTTTCTTTTGCCACGTTTGAACCTGTTCGAGATTGATTATGAATCAAAACTTGGATACATTGTGAATACAAAAAAAAATGTAATGGAAATTGATTTTAGGAAAATTATTATCAATTCAATACTCAACTTGGAAAATGTAAGTTTGATAGAGGGTGTCAAATGCGCTTCAAAATGAGCATGGAAAATTGAAAAACCAAGGACTCTGAGGCTCTGAGCGTTCATGTAAATCTAACTTTACAGTTCACGAATTGGACATCCCATTAAGATCATCTTTAATGTTTAACTAGTTAATCTTGTGATTTGACTTGTCAAATTAGCATTTTTAGTAAAAATGTTTTCAAAGTAAAAGGTACTTTTAATGATTAGCTACAACTTTTTTATCAATCTAGTAGCTACTTTTAGCTAGTTAGTTAAAATTTATCTTTATCAATCTAGTAACTACTTTTAGCTAATTAGTTTTCTCAAGCAAAAAGAAAAGCAATACCTCAATATTTGTCTTAGAATTGTTAGGATGTTTTCTTTTGGACTGTTTTCAGTCTCAGACCAGACCAGATCAGATCGGATCAGACCAGACATTTACCAGACCTGATCAGACCAGATCAGCAAATTTCAATCCAAAAGAAAACATCCTTAGTCGTCCAAATTAACCATTCAAGACACCCCGAATAAAATGATAGAATAATCTGATTCTTATGCCTTTATTTCTTCGTCTAGTGGGTTGTCTCAAACTCTATAAATCATACGAGTATGAATTTTTAACTATATACTTTGTATGTACGATTATATATCGTTTCACAAGTGACTCCGTGGCCCAATGGATAAGGCGCTGGTCTACGAAACCAGAGATTCTGGGTTCGATCCCCAGCGGAGTCGCTTCTCTAATATTTTTTGTCACTATTTTATGTTACGTAGTAAAAGAAGTTACATATTTGACTCACTTGACACAGTTGCCAACTTAAACTTCGACTAATTAATCTACCATCTTTGTTAAATTTTTCTACTCTCACCAAATGTAATTTGTCTTTATATACTCACAAAAACACTTTACACACATTATGTATATATATAGAGGAGTTTTCATTTTTTGAAAATGGTCCATCACGATTTCGTTTGTAATGGTATCAAGTACGGACGTCTTTTTTCGACATACTCCGTAAGCCTGTAACAAATAAGACAATTATTTAAAAAATGTCACCAATAATGATTTGACGATATTCATCACAGAAAAAACATCTTTTTCTCCAACATCTCCACTTTCATTGGATGGAGGCGGTTTTTTTCTTTTAAAGTATCACATTACTATTGTTTAATCTGTCCAAAAAAAATAAAATATTACACTTAAAAGTTATACTTAACAATATTTAATCATATTTAGTGAAGAACATTTTTATAGTAAGAACATTTTATAGTATATTATTCATTAACTAAAACGAAATTACAGTAATTACTAAGTATATTTAGTCATACTTAACACTAAATTCGTAAAACTAAAACCTCAAGGAGAAATAATCCCTTCATCCCTAATATGGTAAATCAGTAATACACACCCTAATAAAAGAAAATTAAAAGGCACAAGATAAATTACTAGAATTCTGGACAATTTTGAAGCACAATAAAATATGCAATTAGCAGCTAACTAAATAGCATAATAATAAACCCCAAATCACATGATTAATTTCCACAACAACTATTGAAATAGAAAATAACAAATTTTCAAATAAAGTATTGAATCTAAAGCTAAAACCTGCGCAATTAGAAAATATCTTTATTGGCTTCTTTAGGAACTAATTAATAAAATAATAGGTTACATAATTAAAATAATTGAGAAATGGAACCGACTGGCCATGAAAATTATGAAATAGAAAGACTAATATGATATATTAATGGGGCATCCTTTTTTTCATTGGGGCCACTACTCCTTAATGCCTAATTTTTTATTATTTTAATAACTAAAATGACAAAGTTATTGGGGGCATGTGCCCCCATTGCTTATTAGCTACGTCCGCCCCTGTATATATAGAAATAATGACCAAATTAATACCACCGGCTTCTCCTTAGACTGAAATATGATTGGTTTTCAAATTAGACAAAAAAGTGACGATTTATATTTTAACAGACAAAACACCCTTCGTAAACGTACCATCCAAACCCCTAATTTCATCTTTTCATCGCTTCTTTCTTCCTCCGCAATCCGCATCCCTTCGTTTCAATCGCCGCTTATGGAGTTCAATTGCCAGACAATCTCATCAGCTTCTGCCATTCAATCTCCGCCACAGGGGACGCCGCTACCGTCGCGGACCACCAGGAGTCTTCGCCCTGCTTTAATCGTCGCAGACGCGCTATTTCAATCTCCGGTTTCGCCGCCGTGTCCAGGTCATCGCGGCCACATTTACTCTTCTCCTTCTCCATTTTCTGTCGATGGCGGCGATGGAAATAGACAAGGATTGCAGGTGAAGAATTTGATGGCAGAACCGACGACTGTGATTTGGAGTCAGTGGCGGCGATGAGGACTCCAAATGTCGGAAACGACGGTAGCAGGGTTACCTTCGGCCGCATCTAGGGTGATGCGGTCTTGCCACGACTAGGGTTTCAGCGGCAGTCTGACCTGGGGAGGCGGGATGGGGGTTGAAGGCTGGAGAGGTGGTTGGGGAAGCTAGGGAGGGGGCAACAACATGACGGCGACGACCACACGACGATAGTGGAGGTGGCCACCTGAAGCGGTGGGTCGGAGGTCATTGGACCAGCCTGGTGGGGTTACTCACCTGAGAATGGATCTTGGTCATTATTATGTCCTAATGTTTGTAACTAACATGTTTGGTCACTGAGCTATTTGTAACTGGTGTTGGGCACTGACCTATTTATCACTGGTGTTGTAGCTGAAGCTATTGAACAATTAGTCACTGTAGTTTGGCTGGTCACTGGGTTCGGGTTGGTCACTGAGATCGGGTCACTAGGAACATAGTCACTGTGACATAGGTCACTGTAATGCATTGTCCAATTAGGTCACTGTAATGTATTAGTCACTGTAACGGATTTGTTGGGCTTAGTAAGGGCAAAATAGTCTGTTCAGCCTTTTTTAGTCACATTTTTTGTTTTTTTTTAAAAAGTTCACTTTTTTGTCCATGAGTTAATTTTTAGTAATATTTGTGTCCTAACCCCATATATATACGGGAAAATGGAAACTAATAATCCAACCTTTTAGCGATCTTCTTACAATAGTCCCACCTTTTGATTATTCATGAATAATCCAACCTTTGCACCTCATCTTCATTCACTGGTCCCTGACCGGTTGATGACCTACTATTCCAAGTTATTTTCTTATCTTTGCAAACCATTATACCATAAATCTCACCTTTCACAAAGATAATATTTTGCAAAGATAAGAAAATAACTTGAAATAGCAGGTCATCAACCGGTCAGGGACCAGTGAATGAAGATGAGGTGCAAAGGTTGGATTATTCATGAATAATCAAAAGGTGAGACTATTGTAAGAAGACCGCTAAAAGGTTGGATTATTAGTTTCCATTTTCCTTATATATACTCACCTTAGTTCTTTTAATCAACGATCATTTATAACACATTATGAACACATCAACCATAGTATTGATAAAAAAAATACTCTATCCATTGCATTATGTGTGTCTCATTTTTTTTCCTGTCCATCGACCTCATTAAATTTATCTAATATCATATTCAATTACATTCTTGTATTTTCAACCATTCTTACTTTATATATTCAATAACAACCATAAAATTCTATGAACCTTGGTAATTGTTTCACATTCTATTATCTCAATCTTAGTAGAGGGAAAAGAGTAAAAATCAGTCATTGAAAAACTCAATACTGCGTATTATATTTATAACGTGGTAGCTAGTGTGTTAGCATAAACCAAAGATTTAATCTAGATCCTTGATTTGTGAAGAAAGACGAAAGAAAGTACATATATTTACAATTTCTCTCAAAATGTGGTGAGATTATTGTATATTGTAGTTTCACATATTTAAAATTATGTCATGGCATATTTTAATAATTTTTGTTATATTTTCATCATTTTATGTAATAAAAGAAATTTATCTCATTTTCATAAAACCATAAGATTCCAATAGTAAAATTATTGTTAGTTTAAATTAATATAACCATACGTTTTCATTTAAAAGATGGTAGTTATCATCAAAGAGGTTCTCATGTGATACACACGAAAAGTGTTACTCCATACATGTTTGTCTAAATTTGGAATTACAGTAGCACAATTCAATGATAAAAGAGAGTTTTTTTGCTCGAAGAGGGCTTAATTCATAGAAATAACATTCAACAAGGGTACAAAAGCAGAAAAGAACCACATGTAACCATCCGCCCGTGACCGAGACTGAGAGTTAACCACCTGTAAAAAAAGCAGTATAACTCGCTAGACCAAAATTGGGCAACTTAAAGCCAATGACGGTTAACGCAGACTTTCCATCCCCCAAACCTAATGCAAGAGTCTTACAACATAAAATAAAATAACAACAAAACACAAAACGTCTTAACTTGGAAATTAAAATGCAGAAAAGGTAAATCATAAGCAAACTCCAAAACGTGTCGATCAACCCTTGGCGGTGGTTCTGGAGGAGGCCTGACTCTCACAACGATTGTTGATGCACCAATCAGGGGGAGACCGATCAATTTCTCCACGTTGTCCGTACCCTGCACTGCTCGGTTCTCCTCATCTGCGACAAATTGATCGCCAATCCCCTGCTTAAATTACCAATGCCAGCCATCTCCATCTGCAATCGTCCTCCTTCGATCTCGATGCCCAATCCCTACGGAGAGAGAAAACGCCTGACCCAAACGCCACAAAAGGATACCACCGGAAAATCAGCCTAGGAAAACCCTAGGAGACGGCCGCCTTCTCTCACCCCTCTTTCTCGACCCTAGGAGATGCCCAAGCCATACGGCCGAGAGTCGCGACAAAGGAACCTGTTGCACCAGAGGAAAAATTCCGGACGCCGTACCTTGGAAGGCACCGCCGGAAAAAACGCCGGAC